AATACCAAACAGATCATGCTATTTAGCCATGCCTCATTTCGCTCTATTTGCTGTTCTCCAGCCCTGTTTTTGCAGGGGGCTGATTCTGTGAGCTGCAGCTGACCACGCCCCCCTGCAGGAGAGGGGAGCCGTGCTCTGATGAAGTCAGAAGAGGGGGAGAAAAAGAGATGTTTTATTATATAGAGTCGTTATTGATTTGTTTTAAAGCTCAATAAATAACAAAGAAGACCTTTGACCGGCACTTTTCGAATTTTGTTCGGAAGATTTAAACTTTAACGGACATCTTGACCGGCGAAAGAAAACCTAACTGAAACTCTGCCGCACGGTCCCCTCGTTCCTTGGAAGAGGCGGAGAGGTGGGTGTTTGTCATCTGCTGGTGGACTAACCGGAGAGAATTACAGTGCTTGCCTCGGGGAGGGAGAAAAAAAGCCACAGCGGAGAATAAACAGAAGGGTAACCATGGTAACCATGCGCGGGAAGTCTTCTTCGCTGCTTTTGTGGCAGACTACAGCGCCACTTACAGGCCTGGCATATGTACTACAGCGTCTCCAGTGCTTTCGAGCGGCAATGGCCGGCCGTGGCCCAACCCCACATTCCCCTGATAGGTGGAGAGTTGCCCAATAGCCGTAGTGCCACTTCTGTGACGTCAGTGAAGTGTTCAAATCTGGATCAGTTTTTATCAGATCCGTTGCAGCCCCTTTTTTAGAGATTTGGGTATGGAGGAAAATAGAGAGGGTTGTGTTTTCTGACACTTGGTTAGTTCCCTGGAACACCGGGGACACATATTCATGTATAAAAGACGTACAAAAGTGCATTTTGCATGATAGGTCCCCTTTAAATTCTTCTAACAGAAGCAATTCTCGCAGAGAAGCAAAATCATTTGCTTTACATGTTGCGACCCATTTATCGAACATGCTTCCCTTTTCCCTGCCGAACTCCACATATGTTTGATGCGAATCTTTTTTGTGATAACGGAATTTTTGTCTGTAAGCTTCTGGAACTAATTCGTAAGCACGAAGGATGGCAGTTTTGACTGAGTCATAATCAAGACTGTCTCCCACTTCGAGAGCAGCAACAGCTTCCTGAGCTTTTCCGACTATTTTGCATTGCAGTAAAAGGGGCCAGGCCTCTATTGGCCACTTCAGCGCCCCTGCAATGCGCTCAAATGCGCTAAAATATGCATCTACCTCAGTCTCACGGAATGCCGGAACCAAAGAAATATTTCTGCTAATATCAAAGCCAAATTAATTTGAGTTGGTGGAACTGGGTGTCATACCTGCGGCCGGGGCTGGTGCGTGCGCCTGCGCGTCCAGCCCCAGCTGACGCAGACTTATTTTCTCCTCCATCTCCAGCTTCCTTATTTCTAGCTGAAACTGTACCTGTGCTTGCCCGGCCCGCTCCTTAGCCTCTATCTCGAGACGTGCTATGCGGACTTTAAGCCTCGCCTCAACTCGGGAGCCATCACTTGTCGTGGATAGTGCATCGAATCGAGGAAGTGTACCCGGCGTCTCCCGCTGTGCACCTTTCTCATCCTGCCCTCCCAACGCGCCAGCAGCCTGGGATTCCCCCTCAAGCTCCTGTGTGAAACCCATATGGGCCATGGTACCGTCAGACACAGCCAGCTCTGATTCAACGGGCAACTTAAGGACACCCCGTTCCACCAACTGATCATTGACCTGAGCCTTAAGCTCTTCTTTTACTACATTTCTTTTTACCGTGAGACCGAGATGTTCTGCAATCTGAAATAAATGGTCTTTTAGACACTTGTCTATTCCTTCAAGCGAAGGACATAATTCAAATGACTCACAGTCAAACGACGCCATTTAACCTAAACTGTACTTACAAATGTACCATCTGATTAGAATTTATCAAATTACCAACCTGCTTAGAAATGACGAGCCCCCATATATGTTACGTCCCCAGCTCGTTTAGGGTAAAAGGGAAGCAACACGAAACCAGATGTTTTTACCAAGAACATCTGGTTTCGTGTTGCTTCCCTTTTACACTAAACGAGCTGGGGACGTAACAGTCTTCTTCATGATGGAATGTTTGTGTTTTTATCATGTTCTGTTGCTTTTACCTCTTAGAATATTTAACAAATTGTACGGTGTCCTTGGGTGTCATGAAAGGCGCCTTAAATAAAATATATTATTATTATTATTATTATTAAAAGCCCTCTGTGTTTTGTCATTCGAACGCTTTAACCCTCCTGTCGTGTTGGGGTCAAACCTAACCGATTCACTACTTTCATCAATCATCAATATTGTGATCCTCCACAATAGATATTTGAACATATATATCAGATTTTATTGAATTTGGAGAGGTTTAGTCAACTTTGTTACACCTATGGTGTTCCTGTGTTTGCCATAGGGAATGAATGGGTAACCCTAGTTATGTTCATCCATCAGAGAGCACACATCTATAACTTTTGGAATACATTTTCAGTGTCTATTCTTTGTATATTCACGGTAGTTACTCATGTAAACCAGTACACTGAGACATTGAGGGTGTTTAATCAAATGTTGTGATGATTAATGTTATTTGTGTTGAGCAGTTAAAACAGACCAAATAACAAATGAAGTAAAGCAGTGACAGAACAGGTTAAAACCAAAACTTTCGGACCAAGCAAGGTAATACAACACAAAGGAAAAGTAGCACGAACTGAACGAGGAACAAACTGGGATGACTCGAGAAACAAGGGCAGCTTACCCAGAGGGAACACATGGAATAATGCAGGAAGGAGAACACAGATGCATCGCACCAGGGAACATATACAAGCAACATGGCCGACAATCTGCCAGAGAACATGGAGAAAGACAGACTTATTCACACACAGAAATAATCACATCAAACACTGATAGACATTTAATATTTTATGAGTAAAGCTCAATCTCAATGTTAGCCTTTTACCTGACATTAACCCCATTAAACATTCGTGATCATAGACAGCATATTAAACACACAGTTCACACTGGTGATCAACACCATTGACATATTGCATCAGCATCAAACTTTATTAAACAACAAGTTTCACTTAAATAACAGAAACAGCCCTTCCAAAAACAAGCAAAAATATTCTTGAATCAAGTCAGATGTTCCTGTATCAAGCAAAAAAATCTGCCAATGTGGTGAGTCAAATTTGCTTGGCTAGGATTCTTAAAACTAGAATTAAAATCTAGCTACTGAAAGACCGTAATGGGCCTTGAAACTAGACAAAAATGGAAAATGTAAGCATATTTTGCTTATTACAAGCAATGATTCCTCCATTATTTAACCTGTTAAGCCCGAGAGACCCCGGTACTGGGGCACTGCCGCAACATCTTGCAGGAAACAGTGTCTGAGGGCATGTTCATTGAATAAAACTATGAATGTTTTATATCCATGTAACGGGAAGAAACTCATCTAACTGATCATTTTTTTTTTTTTTCAAAAGAAAACCCACAATGCTAACACTGAGCCTCTGAATTAGCAACGAGCGAAAAATGCTAACACCTTACTGCACCGAAAATCACTCACAAAACCTTATTATTTATCTTTTCACCACATCTAACACATCGATTCACATCGTGAGGTGACACAGAATCTATTGACACCGACATTACCACTGAATTATACGTATTTGTGACGTTATAAGCAAAAACGGACATCAAAACAGGTGACGCTAGGTAGCTAAAAATGCTAACATTTTTAAGTTGGCTCTGTAGTCTCTCCAAAGTGGTCTTCAATGGCATTAAAATGATAAAAACGCTGCTGAAGTTAATCCATAGGTTAATCTAATGTGTCTGTGTCCCTTTAAAATGATTTCTGATAATCCATAAGCATTAAAACTGCTTTTCCGTTTCCAGATGTCAAAGCTAGAGATAGGTTCACTCTGATTGAAAATTACATGCGCGAAGCCCCCACCTTTTCTCTTCACAACGGGTGTGTGTGGGGGACTCCCCCTTCGATTCTATTGGCTCTAACGGTCAGAAAGAGGTGTCAACCATCAAAATCGAGCAAGGGGGGCCAGAGATATGGAAAATCCACCCAAATGACCCCAGAAGTGGTTTATTTTTGCTAAATCTCTCTAAAAAGGTCAAATGTCACTTGTTTTGCATCAATCTTGATACAGGGTACTTATTATATGTTGTACTTTGGATTCCTAAAGCTTTTAGTCTACTAACCCATCATCCAAGGGTGGTTTTCACTATAAGTATAAAATAATTTTTGGACGGACACTATAATTTACAGTTTTTTACTATGTTCAATCTGAATTGTCTTTAAAATAAAAGATATCTATATTGATTCTGACTTTTCTACATCCAACTCACATGTTTATCATTACTTTGAGAAAAAAGATTATTCATTTAACCCTTTTAGAAGGGAAGATATGGTCATTTGTTCTGGGAATGTCATTTTCGAGCCTGAGACCTGAAAAACAGGCTCAGGGCTTAACAGGTTAAGAAAGAATAACTTAAAATGAATGTTTTGGTTGAGTTGATTAAGAATGTATTTCTTAAATTAAGATTTATAATTAGCAAAGAAAGCTTACAATAAGAATAATTGGCTTTAATTGACACAATATATTAGTGACTTTGTCTTAAACTTAGAATGTAAATCTCAAAGGGGACCTAGAGGAGGAGGGGATGGATCAATGGATGTGGATGTAGGGATGAAGGAAAGATTGAATGAAGGGGTGTAGGGAGGGGGGATAAAGGGATGAATGGCTGGATAAACGAAAGGAAAGTAGGAAGAAAGGGTTGAACTGATGAAGGGATGAATGGATGTGGGGATTAAGGGTCAGAGATATGAAGGGAAGTAGGAGGGAGAAATGAAAGAAGGGATTGTAATGGAAATCATGATTATCAGGAAATTGGTGAATGGAAGAGGGATGTGAGGATGAATGAACGTGGGGATGAATGAACGTGGGGATGAAGATTGGAAGGGATGTCTGAAGGGAGGAATGAGTGTAAACTGGATAAAGGGAGCGAGGCATGAAGATTAAATGAAAACAAATTCAATTCTTATATAAATGCTCTTTATTATGCTTTGGATATCAGTCTTTGTCCCAGACTCTGGACGAATACATCTCTATACATCAAACTCAGAACTCAGAACTTTTTTGAACCTGTGAAAACTAAATTTAAAAACATGTTGGTAAGGAGCTTTGTGTTCATAATCTGGCCCAAATATGATTTCCATCTCCGATATAATTTGGCGAGCCAGTTAGGAGAGCTTTTGTTCTCTTAGTGTACAGTACGGGAATTTAAACTCAGGCGTGTTTCTGCCTGATCTGAAAGTAGAAATGCCCAGGCTGTACATAGAGTTATCACCATAGTGAGAATTTGGGAGAAAAACAAAAGCAAGATTTATTAGATTTTAGCTAATCAGTAAGAAATTCGGAAAAACTGAATTTCTGAACACAAGCTTTGTCCTTAACTTGTTGTAGAAGCCTGCTGTTGATTTGAGTCTTACACACTAACACTTGGAAAATGTAACATCAAGGTTTTCTACTAGTGAGCTTATTTTTCATTTCAGTGTGAACAAATCTAAACTGTACATGGAGTAAAATGTGATGCTTTGAGGTCTCTCTCAGGCAGGACAGCTACAAACCAAGATATTTAAAAAGAATTCATTATGTTGAATTTAAAAGCAACAATTTGCGTAAGACTTATCCTAGACTTTTGTAATATCAACAAATGTACATATAACATATAAGCATGTATAGTTAAATCAGCACGTTAGAGCACATGACCATCAGCTGATCTTAACACTACATCATGTTCGACACCTCGACATGATTCACTTCACATTCTTCTAAACCTACAAGCTGCTGCTACTGGAAACTGACAATGAAAAATGTTGGGAGTTGAAGGTGAATATATACAACGTCGTTCTTCTTTGTTTCCATCAGGTGAGCGTCTGAAGAAAATCACAGGAGACTTTGAGTAAAGTTACAGCTGGAACTGTGACTCTAAATGTGGAGTGGGCCTGTTTGATCTGATGCAGGAGGCTCTAACCTGACTGGACTTCACACCAGGTCGTCCTGCTACTCTCTGTCTTCTGTCTGTGCTGCAGTGTGTGAGACGTTCTCATACTCAGGAATAGAGTCCAACTGATGGGGAAAGAAGACAAAATCAGGCTCTTAATTATTAAACTGTATATATGATCAAATCAAATCAAATCAAATCAAATCAGGTTTTATTTATATAGCACATTTAAAAGCGATTTTTGGTCGAGCCTAAGTGCTGTACATGTAATAAAAACACATTACTACAATCACAATAAAAGACAATAAATTACAACAGATATATATAAAAAATTAAATAAAAAAAAACACAAGGAAAAGTCAGGAGTCGTGCTCCGCTCTAACTAGAAGGCCAGAGAGAAGAAGTGTGTTTTTAGTGTAGATTTAAAAACCCCTAGGGTCTGGGCCGACCTCACATGGAGGGGCAGAGTGTTCCAGAGCCTAGGGCCAGCTGCTGCAAATACATTTTTGATGAGATGTCATCAAAAATGTATTATATTTTGAAGAAGATTAGTTGATGACATTGTTGTATGACCAAATGCATTACTGGTTTCCTCTCAGCAAGTTGTCTTAAAAAAACAGGTTCACTTAACTCCAGTTTTTCAGAGCATTTATGGGACTATTTACATCCTCTCTCTCTCACCTCTATCTCTACAGGTTCACGTGCAGTGGACCTCAGAGCTTTCTTCTTCCTGGATTTAATACAACAACAACAACAACAAATACAAATTCATGACAGTGAAACGAAAAGATGATGGAAGGTGATGAATGAATGGTGAGTGAACGCGTGTATTTCTATTGTTGTACCTGATCCACAGACCCACGAGAAACACAGGAATCAGCATCAAGACCCCCAGAGTCATCCTGATGATATTCACTATCATTGTTGAACTCCCTAGAAACACAAATGTGATAGGTCTCACTCGTAGATTGATAAATCCCTTCAGTCAGTGTCATCCACGTCTGACACCCTAAACATTGACAGTTTTATTTTCTCTGTAACCAGTTTTCAGTTTTGGGTTGCTTCATATTACAAACTTGAATAAGGTCTGATGAAGGTGGAGAACTTACCTGCCACAACACTCAGATGAAAGGTGGAGTTACTACGTCCTAACTTGTTCTGGGCTCCACAGGAATAACTCCCACTGTGTTCAGCTCTGAAGTCAGTGATGGTGAAGATCTGTCCTGAAGCTTTTGGAGAGTCTTCATTCTCCTTGTACCAGGTGTAGCTAGCTGCTGGGTTAGCATCACTGCTACAGGTCAGAGTCACTGAACTGCCCTCCTCTATCTCAGCAGAGGGACTCACTGACACAGAGGGGAGCTTTGGAGCATCTGGAGATTCAGAGAGACCCATGTCATTCACATCACTATGTTTTAAATGTTAACAGACTTTCTCAGATGTTGCATTTTGGATTAATGGATGAACTTGGATTCATCGATATATTTTTGGGTAATTATTGTCAATAAATTTCCATTTAAATAAAACGTCTTAAGTATCCTAAAATCACCTGAAGCTACTCAGAGAATTACAGCAGACTGTGAATGAGAAGCTATAGAGCGGAAGAAAGTAGTACAGATCAGGGAAATCTTCTCCTGGAAAGATTAGACAGATTTAATCTTTATATAAACTGTTTCACTCACATTTCACATCAACAGAGTTCACTTTTGATGTGATCTTCCCCAGCTCGTTCTCAGCTGTACAGAAATACTGTCCAGAGTCAGAGGACTGGATGGAGCTGAAGAAAAGCTGTGGTTCTGTAGTGAGAGGAGGACGTTTCTGATTTCCATCCTCCTTGTACCAGGTGTAGTTAGCTGCTGGGTTAGCATCACTGCTACAGTTCAGAGTCACTGAACTGCCCTCCTCTATCTCAGCAGAGGGACTCACTGACACAGAGGGACGCTTTGGAGCATCTGGAGGAGAAATTAACATTAATATTTAAATATAAAAATATTTAAAAGCTAATGATTTTCTATTTAAAATATTTATTTTAGATTTTTCTTTTTTCATTTATTATTGTAATGTAGAGCTGGAGCTGTCAAATCATTTAAACTTATGTTTGAAACGGACAGCCAATAACAAGTCTTCGTTTTTAGTTTGTAACGACTGATTCTTCTCATATGCTGATTTGTTTGCAGGTGCCGGCTGTTTTTACTGAGCATGCAAAACCCAAATGTTTTCATCTTTCATCTGCAACCGTGAATAACATGCAGAACAATCTAAAGGTCACCTCATTTGTATCCCTAGAGCAATTCAAATTATGAAGTTTACCTGTTTTTACTATTTCACTTCCACTTGTTCTTGATATTATAACATGTTTATTCATTGTGATGTTTCGTTGTTTCTTTGTGGTTATGGATTCCTGGTTATTTCTGATATTTAGTTTTTACTTGCTTTATAAACTTTGCTTTATTCTGATTGAGGTCTCGAGAAAAATTTATTTCCAAGTCATCTTATTTATTTTCTTAAGATGGCTTATTTACTGGTGGAAGTTTAGATTTGTGTTTCTCTAAATAAGTTTGATCAATATTTAATATAAAACAAAGTCACTTCCAGTTGTTTTTGATTTCTTTTTTTTTATTGTTAAGAATGTATTTACCTAATTTATTCTTACATTTCTTTTTTAGATGTTCTTGGTGCGTATAGGATTTTCCTTTTATTGTTTACTGTATGTTGCTTTTATTACAATTATTTACAGGTTACAGCTAAGTTTCTGTTTTTGTTATACTGCTGTCTCCATATGAAGATTAAGAATAGTCCTATGAGGTTATCTCTGAAATGTAATTGTAATGTAATGTCAGTGTGTGTGTAGTGGTTAACTCACACACTGCAGGAGAGGGGAAGTCTTCATGTCCTTTCAGAGCACAGGAATATGTGCCTGTATCACCAAATGTGAATAAGAGAGTAGAATATATTGCAGTCCTAGTTTTCTCTCCGTTCCTGTACCAGACATAATGACCAGAGGGTACAAGACAACTGCTCTGACACTTCAGCTCTGCCCGGTTAGTAAATGTGGGTTCAACCTGCACCGTGAGACCTGGATTTGTGAAGAAAGAACAGGAATGATATTTAAGATAAAAACTGTCAACATACATGCATTCATATGCAATACAGCTTTATTTATAAAGCACTTTACAACCTCCAGACACTGTACAGTCAAATAAACAAAACAAAACATACACAAAATCATACAGTTCAGCGCACACACCATAAAACAAGGACAAATGTATATTATTGTTTTCTAGATTTTGAACATTTGGAAATGATACACATGAATGAAAATGTTACCTGTGACATTCAAACTGACTCCATGTGAACCAGTAAATGTTCCTCCTTCTTGGTTTGTTTCGATCCTGAACTTGTACTCAGCTGAGTCGCTCTCTGTCAGGTTTCTGATTCTCAGAGTGCAGATGTTGTTTTCACAGAGATCCTCTACACGACCTGCATACTCTGGGTCTGTGGTCAGATCTACACGTTCACCACCTTTCCATTTAGTGAACCAGAATATTTTCTCTACTCTGTTAACACGGCCACTTATTGTAGATGGGTATTTGTAGCTGCATCTCATCTCCACTGTTGATCCTTTCACTGCACAGATCTCAGTAGAAGTGTAAGCCACTCCCCAGCCATCCTGACCCTGAACCACTGAAACACAGAGCACATCAGAAACTAGAATCAAAGTTAAAGACTTAAGTTAACAATTAGTTACTAAGAAAAAAAAATCATAATAAAAATATAATTTGAGGATGATGTAACCCGGACAAGCCTCAAGATCCCTAATTATAAGAAAAATATTCTAATCATGCATCTACGGTATGTCAAGAGAACTGAATATAGATTTGTATTAGGTTTATCATATTTATCACTGTAAAGAGAATATATCCTACTTTTATGTGTTTCCAAGTTGGTCTATTTAATGAACAAAGTGTTTTCAAAATGCTTAAAAAGAGCTGTTTGTCAGTCATCAAATAATTATGAAGTAACATGTTACACACTTTTCTGGGTAAGAGCAGAAGAGCACGTTAAATTCACATCTCAATTCCTTCTTAGGCACTTCATACCTGATGCAATCATAATTTATGACGTATTTTGGCGTTATATTCAAATTATACCAGGTCCGAAAACAAACTGTTAACTCAGTTTTTCAACGTCAGTGCTGTCGAGGATTGGTGGATGACTTAATATACAGTGAATGATTAGGGATCATATTAATTAGAAAAGTGTGTGACTCTCTTGTACAGTTTCCTCTCTGTTCGCTCTGTGGTCAGTTTTCTGCTGAGTTAAGTGTGAAAATAACAATAAATGCAGAGCACTGAGGTGTGAGCAGCTTCTGTCGGATATACAGATAAGAAAAAGAAGAAGACTGCTGTAACTCAGGGTGTGGACATATAACACTGAGGTCAGAGAGGAGAGAAGGAACTAGAAGAGTTTGGTGCAGACGTATGGCGACATAAGATAAGTTAAGAGACAGTATGTAATGACTTGTGAGAAAAATATCCCTCGAAAACACTAAAACTTAATAAAAAACGACAAAAAATGTTTTAACCAGGGTCATCTTAGAAATAAAACAAAGCAAAGGTTTTCACAGGGTGAGGAGGGAACAATATCCTCAGTTTACAGCGTGTAAATGTTCTGGGCACACAGTTACTTTATGCAAAAGTTAAGTGCAAATGACGTTGACTAACACAGGAAAGATCTTTTTACGAATACCCATTACAAGTAAAAACTTGGTAGCATCTAAGTGTTTCAACAAAGCAACACATATATTTGGAATATTTCTGGAAATATTCCAAATATCATCCAACCCCGATCCACTTATTTCTACAAATGACCTGGTTTTACAAGTCCCACATTTCCCAGAATCCCCTCTGTTCATGTGATGAATGTAAGTGTAGATGTACAGTACCTGACACAGAGAGCAGGAAGACGACTAATCCACTCGCTGCTGCAGTTAGACTCATAGCTGCTCCTCTCATCTCTGTGAGACTATAAAACATGTCAGATTAAATAATGTTCACAGGAGGTATACAGAATCATTACATCAATAAACTGTTTCTACTCACAGTGAAGGAGGAACCACGTGTTGAAAGATGCCTCTCCTCTGTCGCCAATGAGCAGAAGACGGATATCAGGCTGTTAAGAGACTAGATTTACTTCCTCTTTAGATTATTAATATGCATGATGAGCCAAACCCCAGTACCACCCACTACACAAAAAAGTTGTATTGTTTTTAAAAAGTATACACATTAAAAGAGACTTCGGTTAAACATTTGTTTCTCTGCAGATATTCCACTCACACCAGTGAGCATTCAAATGAAAAAGAGAATAATAGTTCATCTCTCTGAGCACTGAGGACGTCACACAGTCTGCAGGTGAAGGAACAGGAACGCATTTACCTGTAAACCATGAGGCAGTTTAACTGAACAGGATGAAGAGAACTGTATTCATTATAAGAGAGAATGGAAAATGACATGACTTTGTTCTTGGTATTTCTTATCTCTGTGGTCAGGGTGCATTTGCTTGCAGAGAAATGCAGAACTTCGAGACGTGAGAAACGTACATGAACCACTCACAGGACTGGTAGGACAGACAATGTTTTTACATGATGATGTTGATTTGAAAACAATAGTTTGAATTACTTTGGCTTGTTTATGTGGATCAGTTAGAAAAGCAGTGTGCAGAGATGTCTTAAAGCTCCCATGTCATGCTTTTCCGGTTATTACCCGTCCCCTTGTGTGTTATGAAGGTTTTTATGCATGTAAACGGTGTGCAGAGTCAAAACCCTCAAAGTACACCCTGTAGCGAGTAAAACTCTAATACAGAAAATACCTCCCCAAAACGCCTCGTTGGAGATACGTCATTGTCCATTTGATTCTTCCTGGGAACCGCATGATGTCATGCGGTACCCGGAACAAAATGGACCAATCCGGAAGAGCTATGGTCACACCCAGCGGCGCTGGGCATTTCACAGACGAAAGCTTCCAAAACATTGCCCAGTTTGAGGCCGGATATGCACAGCATTTGAAACTGAAGGACGATGCTATTCCTAGTTTGTTTGGACCGTTTGGAGCAGGGGAAGATTCGGGGACACAACCTGTAAGTTTGCATTGTTATTTGTGTATTTATCAAACAAGACTGTTTAAATGTGTAAACTGTGTCGGACTGCTAAGCCATTGACACAGTGCTAACTGTGCTAACTATGTTGCTAGCGTTTCCATATATCAACTCTAATATCAGCAGGTGGCCTTGCATACATGTATCTCATAGCAGGAGAATGTCTGCATTCACACACAAAATACTCATAGACAGTATACTCCGGGAGATTTACCGTACGGTCAGTCGCGAAACGTAATTACATTATAGCTGGAGTAGCGTGTATGCTACCGAGCTAACCAACAGAGCTAGACATGGGTTTGCTCGGGAATTTTTTTTTGTTATGCCAGCTACAATGAATGTAGCAGACTACCCGTGTAAGATTGCAATTGTAAACACGTTCTTGCTAGCCTAATATGAATCACTAGCTTTTGTTCATTGTGGTTTTATTACACTAAACAAGCCCAGCTTACTGGGCTAACGACGTTGCTAGCGTTTAAATCAAGCGGCAAACTCTGGGGAAGAGCCGGGACGCCAATACGGAAGTGCCACAAACTGCAGTTCATATATTGGCCGATAGGCGATGACTGCAGAAAGGAGCAATTTCCATAGACCCCCATGTTAAAATGCCCAATTTCACAGCAGAAAAAAAACGTTTCTAGGGTTAACCTGGTATTTTTACTCCACTACATTTATTTTAGTTACTTTGCAGATTCTGATTAATGATGTGAAATATAAACAACCCTTAAAGCAGACTTTAGTTACACCTGAGTAAAATTCAGGGAAAGGTGATTGTCAAGTGCCAACAATCAGGAGAGATATTAGTTGGTGCTTGAGAAGACTAAACATTTATCTGCAGATCTCTATAAAGTATATTCATTACTCGTTATTCTCTACTAATAGTTAATTAAAGACTGTATATAATAGCTATTTTGCACATCCCTTTCAAGATTTTCTAAGGTTTATTGACATATCATATACACCACGATGTTGAAGTTATGCAATTAATGAAAAACTTGGGTCACAGGTTCCTCAACAGTGCATTACAAGACATCTATCAATATGTGTGTATTCCTCCACCATTAACTCAAATTCTGCACATGTCTTATACTATCTACATACATAAGAGTATAATTAATATATATATAATATCAGTTAAAATAAGTGCTTCAACACAGTTAACATTGCAGGAAAGCAATATATTAGACGTTAAGTACTTTGTCAGGCTTAATATTTATCTGTAGATAGATACCCCCAAAGCTTTTTTCTTATTTGAAAGAAAACCTAAAGTGTTCTTTAATGTGTTAATAAAGGTTAATTAGTTTGTCTGTTTTGCACATCCTCATATTAATATCAGGCACTAAACTGTTTTATTGTAGAGATCACTTACAGTATCTTCTTGATTTTTTATATTCTATATTTCTATCATTGACCTTCTACTTTCCCCCTATGAAAGTATGTACTCTTAATATTTTATTCATCAAATAACATTATTCAACAAAAATAACATTATTCAACAAAAATAATTAAATAACGTGCTTTAACCACTAGGCGGTGCACACAAGGTACACACAGCATACTAATAATAACTTTGTTAGTGTAGGACACTTATGTATGTATAACATCTGAAGATGTGTAGTTTTATTCATGTTTTTACATAATTGTACAGGATATTGCTATATTATTTCTCATGTTTTACTTCTACACATTAATATCTGATTTGTAAAACATCACAGACAGAAAGGTATATCCGTCATTTAATGGTAAGCTATTGAAATTGTGATTCCATAGATGTGTCTCCCATCACCCAAATCCCCTGACTATTCTCTCAACTCAGTATTTACATTCTTATATTCAAAGAAAATCAGTAATATCTTTAAAAACTACAAGTCCTTTTCTATCAGCTGTGCACCGTTATGGTGTAAATATAACCTATCTACCAATTGGATCAAATATAAAAGTCAGCCGTATTAGTATTGATACTGCAAGGAGACGTATTTTGTGAAAAGAAATGTAAGATGTTGTTTAATTGTTGATATATTTATGATCCGCGTCACGTATTCAGTTTCGGCGGCAGTTCTTCCTGTTTGTCCAGAAGTCTTCTCATCAGGGCTCTATAAATAAAGAACTATGGCAGATGTGTAATATTTAATGCAGCCGAACCGTGTATTACAATGCCGTTATGTGATGACTTTCAAAGAGAAAAGCAAGAACACTCGGAATAAAGTATTATTATTATTTTTTTTAATGTTTTCGGATTTCACATCGCATAAACACCATATCCCAACGTGCATTGCGGCTAAAACATCCAATCAGCGAGCTGAGGATCTTTCCTACGTCTGTTTCCGGTATTGTTCCTGTAATGAAAGTTCACATTTATGCTACATTGAAGGGTGGAATTGACTACACATCTTCAGAAACATAATTTGCTTCAGATATATACTGTAACTCATAGCAATATTGTAACCATTAAGAAAAGCCAACTGCATTAAAAACCCAGTTAACAAACACAAGGTAAAGTATTTTTCCTTCAGTAATGAAGATGTAATTCCAATGTAGACACACCTGGGGTCGCTGTTCAGTCTGTTACGCTGAGCCATGCATTGTCTGGAACGTAAAAGGGACGAAGAAGACAAAGTGAAGTTACGTACTTCCGGTTCAATGTGAAAACATTCCCAGTTAAACCATAGATATATATAAAAACATATGTTTATATATATCTATGAGTTAAATAACATAAACAAATCGCTTAATAAAAAGATAAAACACTGGCATGTAATTTACGTTTGGATTAAATAGAATGGTTTTGAATAATAGATGAGAGTAAAATCTACGTCACAGCCCCACCCACTTTTGGGGAAACCAACGCTGTCATTTGAACGGTGATCAAGCCTGAAGCCACAGAGCTCTTCTGCTGTCCTTAGAGGAAGTTTGAGGTGTTTGAGGTGCAATAAACGACACAGCAGCTTTTTGGCATGTTAAAACTCTGCCTCGCAGCTGGCGAAATTACAGCCTCGCCTACTGATTTTAATTTAACCATAGGATATCAAGCCCGATCGTCGATTTCAAATGTGTGCTCTAAAATGATATTAATAAATGACTATTATCATTATTATAAGCTAGAAAAGAAATGTCAAAGATAGGTAGAAAGCAAACGTATTTAAGATATGTTCAGAACAAACGTAACGTGGGACAAAAGACGTTTCTTGTTAAACGTAATTGAGAATGCTGTATGAAACGACTACAAACAATATTGTGATTATTAAGCATTAACCAGCATAATAACGGATTTGGTCAACTGAAAAGTCAGCCGCCAGCCAGCGCGAAAATAAGTTTGCTCTAAAATGATATTAATAAATGACTATTATCATTATTATAAGCTAGAAAAGAAATGGCAAATATAGGTAGAAAGCAAACGTATTTAAGATACGTTCATAACAAACGTCATATGAGAGAAAATAGGTTTCTAGAAGATATGTAGAAAATAAACGTATTTAAGATATGTTCATAACAAACGTAACGTGGAAGGAAATACGTTTCTTGCGAAACGTATTTGAGAATGCAGTTTAGTTTTGTGGGAACGTAATTTCTAGGAGACAGGGTTGATATCGGACTATTGTGACTCGCTCTGCGGTTAAAACAGACGGTGCATGAATGCGGTTTTGCGGTAAGTGAAATTCGAGTACTTTATTTATGTGTTTATGATTTCAATCAGCTACGTAATGAATGTTAAGGCTTGGGTTAGCGTGTAAGCGAGTGGTAGCTACATCGGTGCTAACGATGCTAATCGTAGCCTCCAAGTTAACTTAAAACCATAGACTGTATATATAAAGGTTAAAACGAAATAGACAAGTGTTAAGCGTTAAGTGGATAATACTGTAGAACAAAAGGCTTCTGTTTGAGGTTGATAAAATGAGGTCATCCTTGTAACTTAGAGAGATATTTTATTATGTAGGTAAGGCAAGGCAAGGCAAGGCAAGGCAAGGCAAGGCAAGTTTATTTATATAG